AGAGAGCTGGAGCAGCAGATCATCACGAGGGGACAAACTTGTCTGCAGGCAACAGTTTGCCTTTCTGAGATGTATGACTTGAACATTGCAGAGTCCTATGAATAGCTTTCTTTTATTTCTTGTTATCCTGCCCTTGCAGTTCAGATAAGGTATCCATTGTTGAAAAACATCACAGCAAAGCTGCATCTGTCTCCATGCTTTAGTCTTATCATGTCTGAAATGCTTTCTGAGGTGACTCGGTGATCAGTGCTTAAATTACATAGATGGGCTCTACATGCAGGAGGCTTAGTACCTGCTTAAACTATGAAACAGTGAATTACTAACCTGGAATTCTAAATATGTGTAAGAACAAAATGTGTTTTTATTGTTCATTGCTTAAGAGTTGACAGGATTAAAATTGAGGAAGAACATTTAAAATGGAACATTCCCTGTTAGTTCTGTCTGTGGAACAGTAGAAGGCCATGGCATTAACCTTTGGGTTATTAATATGTTGATGGAGGGAAGGATTAAGAAAAGAGCAGGCTGTGGGACACAAATGGCGCAAAGGCCAGAGGCAAATAATTTTGTATTGACCCCAGCTGTAAAAAATAGATTGGAAGCAGAAATCAGAACATTTACAAAGGTGTTTCTGCAGTCAAACGTAGTCTTCCAACTGAGATTATTCCTCTGCTCTGGGACTGGAGAAGCAGGTACTTGAACTATTTAATTTACTTGACTCTTAATTTTATTAAAGTCAAGGCCAGTGTTTTACTGCAGTGATATGTGCTATCAGAGTCCATGGAATGTGAAGGCAGGTAAACATTGAATCTTCATTCCACCGTGTCACGCGTGTCCCTCCTGGGACTGGTGAAACGTTTGTCTCCTGCTCTCCCTTACCCTGCTCTCACTGTAATTACTTTGGCTGCACTGCAGGGGTGTCACTTCTGAACAACAATCCCAGGTGTTTCACCTTGGAGGTTTGGGAAGTGTTTTTCTCCATTCCATAGTCCGTTTCTCCGGGTTGCGGATGTTCCTGTGGGAGCTGACGCGGGAGGTGCTGAGAGCTCAGGACAAAAATAGATCATAATGTGGAAAAACTGAAGAGTAATCCCGATTCTTCCTTCTGTGAAAAACATTGTAGGCGTGCTGAAAATGGGATTAACATGGTGAAAGGTCATCAAGAGGGCTCAACTTTTATCTCATTAAAGTAATACTCTGGCTTTTGACACCGGTGGAAAGTCAGGGAGTGCTCCCTGGCAGCAAGTGGCCATGGGCTCCCAGTCCTAATCCTGACTTCCCGTGACCTTGGGTGAGGTATTTAATTTCTCTCTGCTTTCCTGTCTTGTAACCTAAATTTAATTATGTGTTTCAGAGGATTTGAGTTAAATAGCTGTTAATTTTAAAGCATTTGGAAAATTATAAGCTGTATATACGTGTTTCACTGTAATGCCTCACATGTGAGTAGTCTGTCTGATGCTGAAAATGGAGCAGTTCTTCCTGGGTGCCAAGGTGAGGAATAGGGTGATGAGGTGACCTCAGCCTGAACAAAACAGCTTTTCAGGCAATCACTCTCAATGGAGTAATTCAGGAGTAATTCCCAAAATTACTCCCGAAGTGGGGGGGAACACAAGCTGAGCCCATTAGCAGAGTGGTCATGGGACTGGGAGCACAGGAGATTTGGTGTGGTGCAGAGGGAATGAGAGATACATTGATGGTTGGAGGTAGCCTGGGCTTGGATATCTGGAATGATGGGACAGAGGTTGTGCTCAAAGTTGGCAAGAACAGAGTTAAGCTAAAACCTTGGGCAGGGTGGATGAGCAGTGTAAACAGGAATGAGGTGCCAAAGCACCATTTTGACCAAACAGAAAGGTATTCAATGGTTTGGGGTTTTTTTTTCTGGAATGTCTCCATCAAGATGCAGGGCTCTTTGTTTTTCTCTTCCCTGCTCAAAACCAGCAGCACTTTCCAGGAAGTGAAGATCTGTGTGATTCCAGCCACTTTAGGCAGCAGCAGCATAAATCAAGGCTGTGTTGAGCTCTGCAGCCTGGTAGGCACATGTCTGTCTAGGGTCTCCCACAGACCATCACCAGGGTGGGGGCCAAGTTAATCAGGTCACCAGGGTGACTGGCACAGCCCTAAATGCAGTTCCTGCATATGGATGCCCCAGGCTGTGGGGTTGGCAGCTTCACTGGTGACTGCTACACTGCTCAACTCCAAGGTCGTTCAGAGCAGGAGTTGCCCATAAAATAGGCATTAAAGTAGTGTTTATACTTAATTTGGTGTTTTGTGATCAACATATGCATTTAGAACTATTTCTTTTCCGGGATCCTTTTTAGTATTGCATGGTACTTGTGGAGAGTGGAGTGAGGAAAATACCTAAGCCCTTCTATGGCATGAAAAAAACAGGTTGGTTAATGGTTATTGATGGATAGCAAATGCTTTGTGATTTATGGCAGAACAAGTCAGCAGAGCGTGGAGTCTTGCAAAACACATGAGACACATTGAGTAAGCTCAGAGCCTGCACTGGTTGGTCAACTGGTGAAGTACAGATAATCCCAGTTAAATATCATTAATTGTTATCCCTATGTATATGTTTTCCATTGCTCAGGATCATGTTGCAGTTGTCATCTGGTGATGATTAGAAGCACGCTGGTGTGGCTACCAGAAGTGCTTCATTTCTGTTGGGAAAGGGTGGTTTTCCCAGTGCCATGAGATTTGCACCAGTGTGTAATAGCATCATTATTTCTTGTAATGTATAGGATGCTGCCCAGTCAGCACTGTCCACTGTTATAAAATACTAGTCAGTCATGTGCTGGCCAGATGAGAGTCATGTTATTGCACTGGTTTGAGCACTGAAAAAAAGAAGAGTTCTTTGAAGCACTTGCTTTGTCGTGATTTTTTTTTTACAATAGAAAACCCTCTTAGATGGAATACAAATACAGGACACCTACAGAATGCTTCAGATCACGCCTTAGGCTCCATCTATGGCCATTTATAATGTGTATTTTATGTATTAAATCTGTAGTATGACTACAGCTTGTGTGAGTACTGGTGCTCTACACTGGATCCTCATCCTAGTCTGTGGTCAGGGTGCCCTCAGATGCTCTGACGCCCGGGGTTCCCCTGAGCCTCTCAACGGGAAGAAGCTGTGCTGAGCTGGGATTTCTCCACTGGAAGCGACATGTCACATCAGGGTCCTTTCAATTTTCCTCTTGTCCTTCATCTCACAGCGTTTGCTGCACCAACAGCACGAGCTTTGCTCGTGTGCTGAGCTCGGCTGGAATACGGTTTACGGGTGCCAGATCCTGGCAGTGGGGTTTGGGAATGTGATGAGTGGTGAGCCAGGGGGGCCTCCAGCTCTGACAAGGTCTGGAGTTGCCCCAGCAGCCACTGGAGCTGCAGTGGGAGAACTCCCATCCCGGAGCAGAGCCGTCCCCTCCAGCTGTAGATGACTAACTGAAGCTGTGTGGGCCGCTGGCTGTCCCTGTATCTCTTCCCCTAAACACTGGAGCCTTTGTCTCTGGCCTTATCGTGCCCCTGCCCTGACAGAGCCTCTCTGTGCTCTCCTGCCAGCGCTGCGCTGGGTTCAGGGGGCTTTTCTTCAGCTGCTCTTTGTCTCCGGGTGTTTATTGTGCTGCTGCAGAGTGTGTGTGTTTGGGAGGGAGGAGGAGGGGCTCCTGTTTGTGTGGGCTTTATAAACCCAGTGCATTCTTCAAAAGAGATGCTGAGCAAACGGGGTGGTGTTAATATTAACCCCTCAGTGCCCTGCATGGCTGCAGCGAGAAAAATACTGTGGGAGGGTTATGAAGTTGCTGTGTAGGGGAGGGAGGCTGCTTCCCCTCTGGTCTTAATGCCTTTGATTTTCTGTGGATGGTGCACATGTGCACCAGGCAAAGACCCTCCCAAATCAGGAGAGATGGAATTGATTCTAGGAGTCCTTCTGGAACTTGTTTTTATTGCAAACACTGGCTCTCTGACCCCTTCTGTTTGCAGAACTCTCCCTTGCATCCTGTTTATGTGGCTACATTGGACAATATCTCTTCATTGTACCATATCCCCAAACTTTATGGCCCTGTGCTTTATGGCTTTGCCTTTTGAATAAGGTACCGAAAGCAGGATTTTCTTAAATTCACAGTTGCCACTTGCAGTGGCATATGATACCTTCTCTTTGAACCAGCTTCTTTTCTTTAACCAGCTTGTTAAAACTTCCATGGTTTGGATGGCTCCTGTGTCTTCAGCACCCATGGTCCCACATTTCAAGAGGGCTTTGAAAAATGAAGATCAGCAACTCATAAACTTTATTTCCTTTATAATCACACAGTGCTTTGCACTGTTGGTTGGTGGGAAAAAGAACCCCAACCAACAACTAAACAGAACAGTGTCAACTCTCTAACCTCCTTTTGCTCTTCCTCTGTAAGAGGATGGGAATGTATAACATGGAAAATATCTCTGTGAAGAGACAGAAGAGAAGCTGCAGCATCACAATTGTCTTAGTGGTGGAATTGCCATAGAGAGTTTTATATTTCACTGAGTCTGTGGTCAGCATAAATGTTTCAGCTCTTTTTTATATTATGATCTGCCTAAATGCAAATAGTTTTATGTGTGGTAAAAATACTTTTTTTCCCCAGATACGTTATCTTTTCTTAAATTAACTGACATTTTCCCCAGAAATCAGTAGAATTAGATTAAGCAGTTTACAAGGTACTGTAAAGAATCTTTACTTTCAAGTAATTAATATCCTGATATTGGGGATTGTAGTTCATGTATTGCAGCATCTATGCATTATATTATTACACTGGGAAAAAGTTAAGCAGGCTGTGTTCCTTTGCAGGGGGTAGGAAAGGAAGAAATGCAGAATAATAGGAGCCTTTGAAACATGAATCCACACAGTCATGACTAAACCTATTCAACCACTCAGGTGGTTTTTTTCCAAGACTGCTCTAGGCTTTAGCATTGTTGTTGTGTGACTTGTTTTCTTTATGCACCAGCTCAATTTGCTTCATCTCTTCTTCTTCTTGAAGGCACAGTTTCAGCTGCAAAGCGCACAGGGATCCCAGCACCCCGGGAAATCTCATCCTCTGTCTCCAGGGAGAGAGCTGTGCTGCGTGGTCAAGTCAATGCCAGGAAAACACAACCCAGCCCCACCTCTTCTGGTGCACCAACTCCTACCAAACACGTGCGCCCCACCAGCAAGTCCAAGCAAGAGAATGAAAGTGGTGACAAGGCTGTTCTGGAATCTCAGGTTAAAGAGCTCCTGGCAGAAGCAAAGACAAAAGATTCTGAAATTACCAAACTTCGCTGTGAGTTGAAGAAATGCAAAGAGAAAGGGTCCCTTAACGCTGAAGGAATGGGTGCTTCCAGCCCAAATTTAGAAACAGTGTCACCTGTTGACATAGATCCATTGATACGGTCTCTTCAGGAGAAAAACAGGACTTTCCAAAAAGAGCTTGCTAGCCTGGGAGAAGAAAACCGCGTCTTGAAAGAGAAATTGCTTTATCTGGAGAACTCCCCTCTGTCAGACACAACAACAAGCAGTGGAGGTGACAGCAGCCTCCCGACCCCAACTACCCAGGAGTCCAGTTTTGGAAGCCCATCCAAAAATGCATCGAGAGGTGAAGTGGAGGAGCGCAGGCAGCACGTGAACGGGGGTGCCCTGCGCAATTCTGGTTCTTCCAGCAGTGATGTAACTAAAGCTTCCCTGTCCCCTGATGCATCTGATTTTGAGCACATAGCAGATGTACCTTCCAGGCCAACATCTGCCAACAGCAACCACTTGAAAGGTTCCAAATGCTCCACTGCAGGAAGTTCTCCAAACAATATTAGCGACCTCTCTGTTGCATCCCTTACAGAGAGAATACAAAAAATGGAGGAGAATCACCACAGCACAGCAGAAGAATTACAAGCCACTTTGCAGGAGCTGTCAGATCAACAGCAAATGGTGCAGGAGCTGACAACAGAAAATGAGAAGTTAGTGGAAGAGAAGGCTCTCCTGGAGACTTCCTTCCGTCAGCACAGAGATAGAGCAGAACAGCTGAGCCAGGAGAACGAGAAGCTGATGACTCTCCTCCAAGAACGATCCAAAAATGAAGAAAGCAGAGCTCAGGAGGGGAAGGTCCTCGAACTGGAACAGAAATGTGCAGAAGTTCTTGAAAAAGCACAATTTGAAAGAGAGAAACTGCTCAACATTCAGCAGCAGTTAACCAGCAGCCTGCGAAGCCTGGAAAGGGAACATCAGGATGCCCAGCAGGTGATTAAAAGCCTGAGAGAAGAAAACGAGAAGCTGCTTAAACTTCTAGAGGTGGAACAGCAGAGCAACAGCACAGCGACAAAAAGTCTGGAGGACTGTAAAATTGCCTTGGAAGGTCTGAAAATTGAGAATGGCTCTCTCAAAACTCAGCTGGAGAATGAGAAACAAAAGGCTGCAGAAATCAACGTGATGGGCTGTGCCCCTGATGACTCGGAGGTGCAGGAGATGCTCAAAGTGGCCCACGCAGAAAAGGCTCAGTTAGAAGCCTCTTGCACTGAGCTTAAACAAGAGCTGCTGAAGGCAAACAGTGAAGTAAAGCACATGCAGGGTCTGCTGTCTAAGGTAAAGCAATAACAGCTGTGAAACAGAATGATTGTTTCTGTCCTTCCATAAATAGGTAATTATTGGTCTTTGGATTGCTGTCGAGCCATGGATTATAAGCTTCCAGGATTTAAATTACATGAATTAGTTTTGAATGGAAGCTGGGGTCGTATGGTGTTGTCTCAGTTGCTGCTGCTGTGTGCATATTTTCCCAGGAGTAACTGTTAACGTAGCTGTATTTATAAATTCAAAACTGTCTTGTCCTAATATCTTCTGCAGAATTGACTCTTTTAATAAGTAGAGTTGTGTTTATCAAAATTGCAGCAAAGAACAGGTCAATAAAAAATTACTTTGATATTGTGTGAACAAATGTTAGTGTAAATCACTTGCTAATTAGATGGAGAGAAGGGCATGAGTAGTTAGCAGTGAATATTAAATTCTGAATAATTAATCATAATTAATTAGCAGTGAACTGTGGATGTCATTGATCATGAGAACACAAGGATCTGAGTTAATTAACTTCTGAGTTAATGCTTAGAGAAGCTGGTAGTTACAGCAGTATGACTAATGTTGCAGCATCAAGCTCCAGGTGAGATTATTTTCATAAAACTAAAATACTTTTACAAAACTGAGAAATACTCTATTTTGGGATAGGTAAAATAATGGCAAAAAAAATTTTAAAAAGACTGATTTTAGAACAATTTTCCTCTACCTCATTTAGTAGCTCATAGCTTTGCTCCAAACAGGTTTACCCCAGTTATTGTTCTCATTTTCTGTGGATATTCAGAAGGGAGCTGCAATGTGAGGTATCATACAACAAGTGTTAATAAAGCACAAGCCAGTGATTGTGTCCCACTGCTGCAGAAAGAGTGATAGTGTGTGCAGTCCTTCCTGTATGGGGAAGGGATCATGAGAAGAATGATAAAATTGACTGCAGAGGAAGAGAGCATTGCCAAAAAGCACCTCCATGATGTGAGTGATTTAGAAAATCCAGATGTCCTTTCAGCTTAAATAGGTGACCACAGCAAATGGAGTTAGTAGAGGAAGCTCCCAATTGCTTTCTGGAGCTGCAGCTCATGAAGAATAAATGAAAAACTGCTGAGTGCTCAGACTCTGGACCAAACTTTTATTGCTTGGTTTGGAAACCACAGATTTCCTCCTTTTTACTCTTCCTTTCCCTCAAATTAAGCTGTTTTGAATCACTGGCTACTTGTGACACCCAGACAAGACCACAGGCTTCTGTAAGGCTGCCCTTCACTCAGGCTGTGCCAGTGCTGCTCACTGAATTGGCAGCCTGCACCTTTTTCATACTCAGAGAGCTCCCCCCAAACCTGGAAACATTGATCCGTGGGCCTGAGCCAACAAACTGAAGTGCAGCAGATTCCCCCTTCAGTAATTCCAGATGTCCTATATCCAGAAATATACTTATCTGCAGTAGCTGGCTCTGCTGTGTATGCTTTCACAGTCCATTGAAAATGCACATGGTAGAAGCAGCAAACTGTTGGTGTGGATGAACTGATCATGATCTTGGCCCTAAGGCAGTGATATCACTTTCATAATGTGATACATAAATAGATGTGGAACTTTCCGGGAATATAATTCCTCTCTGTTCATTAAGTACAGAGACTGGTTTGGAATTATGGTCATCATATAGAAAATTTAATTTCCTTTGCGGCATCTCGTTTTATCATCTTCATTACCAGGGAAGAAAACTGACATTCACAGCTCATCTGTGTTTCCTGAGGCTGTTTCATGTACACAATGCTTAGAACACAGATTCAGTTCTGAAGTCCATGAGATGCCCAGTAAAGCCTCTAATGAGTGATATCTCTTAAGGAATAAAGACAGACTTGCAGCTTTGTTTCCTCCCTTCCAGGCTGAGAATGAGTGTGGTCAGCTGAAGGAGGTGTGTGACCGGCAGGCTGAGCAACTGAGCAGAACCAGCCAGAAACTGCAGGAAAAAACATCAGAGAATGAAGCAGACATAAAAAACCTGAAGGAGACCATTTTCGAGCTGGAAGACCAGGTGGAACAACATCGTGCCATAAAACTTCACAATAACCAGCTCATCAGTGACTTAGAAAGTAGGTGGAGCTCAAAAAAAAGGATTTAAATTAACTTCTTCGGGGGGCTCAGTTATGACTGCAACAGGGAGGAGGAAGCATGTCCTTTACAAGTATTCCAATTTTGGCTGTTCCCTTCTGTTCATGTGCAAAAGTACTATTTTAACAGTTAGGTAGATAGCTATAATATTAGAGACAGTCTCCAAGCCCCGTTCTTCAGTGAAGGAAGTACTGCCCATTCTAGAAATTGGAATTATTGGCCTTTTAAAGAGCTTTTAGGGAAAAACACAGGGAAGAGCAGTAAAGTCGAGGTTGGTGTCATGTTGTGGATGAGGAGCTGCCACCTGGTGGAACGAATGGCCTGTTCCATATTTTAGTGTTCCCTCCAGTGCCTGAGGGATGTGTGTGTGCTGAGTAAGTGAATCCACGTGGGATTCTCTAAATTTCAGAGTCTGGTTTAATACCTGAAAATAACAACGTAGTTCAGAGATGTTTGAGTAACAAATCTACTGTTGATTCCATTCCTGATCTGTTGACACAGTATCCTAATCTCAGTTTAGTCTATTTAGTGGCATTATTAGAAGCAAAACCAAATCAGCTGCTCTGCCCTCCCTTTTTCACTTTCACTGTTGCCCTTATGTGTTTAATAATATTTTTCCCTTTTTACTGTCTTAGGTAAAGCCATGAAGCTGGAAGAACAAAAACAGGATACAGAGAGGCAGCTGAAGGCTCTGACTAAGCAAATGAAGGTAAGGCTTAAGCTCCAGGACAAAGCTAAGCTGAGCTTTTATTGCAGTACTAGATATAAGAGAAGTGTTGTGTTTTCCTAGAACAAGTGTACAAATTTCTTTCTACATTCTCTTCTCTTTGTACTTCCATTGGAGTGGAAGGCTTAGAATCAGCTTCTGTGGCAGTGTTTGCAGTACTATAAAGAGGCAAATGTTTAGTTTGACCTCAGCACCATTCTTGAGTTGTGGTGAAATCCTGGTCACTTGTGGTGACTGAAAGAGAGATCAATAACTAAAGTGCTCAGCTCAAGTAGGTGCATTTTTACAGCAAACACTGGGGTTGTAACTGCTCTTTGTAGGAAGATGCAGAGGAGTGGAGGCGTTTCCAGGCTGACCTGCAGACTGCAGTGGTTGTGGCCAACGACATTAAGTGTGAAGCTCAGCAGGAGCTCCGTGTGGTGAAGAGGAAGCTGCAGGAGGAAGAGGAGAAGAGTGCCAGGCTGCAAAAGGAGCTGGATGAAGTGAAGGGCAGCAACAGGTTGGTTATTTACCAAGGCTGAGATGTGATCTCTGTGAGTGCTAACACGCATGCAAACAGTGCTTTGTCAATAACTAGTCATTGGCTTGGACGTGCATGTTGTCTGTCTATAACTCTTCTGGCAGATTTTGTTGTCTCTTATTCTGAGGTGTTTCTGTTCTTTTTCTATCTGACAACCTAGTTCTGTCAACAAGGGCTGTGAAGGTTTTAATCAGCGAATACTAATTAATAACAATTGCCTCTGATAGTTTTGTTCTCAGTCTGGTACTGCCCTGTGTGTTGTTGCCTTCATAGCTCTCTGTGCAGCTGTATTAAAGCATCTGTGGAAAGATGGGTTGGGCACAGATATTCCATGGAACATCCAGAAGAGAACAACTTGACCTGAGAGAAGTCAACGAAGAAAGACAAAATAACCCAAGCAGTCGTCCTGTGTATCAGAAATGTGTGCCAAGTCAATTCTAATCCTTTAGATTTTTCCATTTAATCTCTCTCCTGGTAAATTTATGACCACTGGCAGAATGGCCACAAGAACATAGTGAATCCTGTCATTTCTTTCAGATGGAGTAACAGTCCAGCTTTATGTTGCACATATTTGCTCACTGTTTTCCATTCAGGAGTTTCCGCAGCAGCTGTGCAGTAGATGTGACTGCGAGAGCTTTTGTGCGGAGGTGTATGGATCAGAATTCCTGGATCGAAGAAACAGAAATAAAGGAATGTATTTAAGCTCCAGTTTCATTATCAGAGTCCCAAGTGGATGCAAAAAAAAGCTATTACAGACTATGTGTTCAGACAAAATGATTACCAGACAGTACTTGAGTTCTGGGCTCTGTTTCCATTCCTAATTTGTTCCTAATGAAATTTCTCTTGTTTAAAGCAGGGTCCCTATATGAGGATGGGGAGTCACATTCATGTAGCTTCCCATCTTTATTCTTTTAGTTTTTAATCTGAAGATGTATTTGATAGTAGTTAAAATGAATAGAAGATGACCTGCTAATTTGCAAACTGGGATGTTCATCTTCCATGTTTAAGGAATGTGGCTGCACTGGAAGCCTCAGCTTCAAATACTGCTTTTTAAATTGGAAACATGGAATCCATAGGTAGTTCCAGAAGGAGATATGCAGACATGTATTTAATTATGTCAGTTTTGGCAGTTGTGTGTCCCTCTCTGTCACACACACACACACATCTGTCTGTCTCTGTGTCATGTTGACTCTCTGTATAGCTTGCTTTGAGTATTGCATTGGTCATGGAGCTAGATATGCTGTCTGCAGTGGGCAATGTTTATTCTCTTTCAAAGACAGGTATTCAAACCAAATTTTGCATCTGTCAGTAAAACTAACTTGACTTTGAGTGTGCAAAATTTCTGTACCGAGTGGTATGGAGAACAAAATGAAGCCTATGTAAGTCATTGTCTAAACAAAGCAGTGATCAGCAGCTAAGCACTGACATTTTAAAGCTCTACTGACTTATGAAACAAATTCCTGAAGTCACCAAAGCTCCTACTGAGAGCCAGTTCTACACTCTCACATATTTTTGCATTCCTGAGGTCACTGTCTTCCCCAGCACCTCAGCTTCTGTCACCCAGGAAGGTCTGGGGATATTCTCATCATTGCTTTTTAGTCAGCTTCCTCAAATGCCACTGCTCAGAATCAGCAGTCGATTTTGGTACCTGTGGTGATTTTAATGCATGCTCAGCACTGGTGGAAACAGTTTGTAGCATGATACCTTAACACAGTCTGTAAAGTATCCCTCCTGTTTGCTAATGCTGAGCAGCTGCACGCTCAGCTGAGTATCTGACAGTCCCTAGTGAAAGTTTCCTGTCTGATTTTTAAGCTCTTATTGGAAAACGTACCTTCCAAAGAGCTTGCTACTCAAAGGTTTTTGGCAAAATCTCAGCCATCTCTTGAGGGTCATTAGACTCCACCTCATAAATTCATCTTGAAGCCAATTTATCTCCTATGACATCCTGCCATTTTAATGTTTGCCTGTGGCTGCCTGAGTTCCTGCCTCCAAGTTTGATTTCACCGTTACATTCTTCTAATCAGACAAAAAGTCATTTTTGGTTTAGGAACAGCCAAAGAACTTGCAGAAAAAATCCTGATGAGGTCATCAATGTTCATCTGAATGAAGGTAAGAGCCTCCCAAAGGCATCTCTAACACAGATTAAATGTCTAATTCTATGACTAAGAATGTTGGGGGGGAGGTTGGAACAGCATCAGCCAAATGGAATAAGGAAGAAAAGAGTTAGCTTATCCCAAGTTAATATTGACTGAAACCTAAAAATTGTTTGACCTGTGCTTCAGACAGCCTTCTATGATACTTTACATCCTAATTAATATTATTTCTCTGCAGTAAAATGTAAAACAATCCACTGTTGTGTAACCGTCTTCTCACAGGTAGTGGAAATTGAAGTTTGTCTCCATCCTTGGAGGTTTTCAAGACCAGACAGGATAAGATCCTGAGTAAAAGTTTCAAGGTCTTGCTTTGACTCTTTCCCTTCAAGTTTTCAAAATGATTTTGGCACTAGAACATTGTGCCTCAAACCAAGAACATGGAGGGAAGACAGTTGGGCTGGGAGTAGTACTTAGAAAACAGAGAAGTTAAATCTGTAATTAAATGAGTGACTTCTTAGAATTTCTAATAAAAAAATTAACCAGATCTTCAAACGGAAGCCTAAACTGAAGGTTGTGATGTATCCCACTAATTTGCTTCTGTTTTTCTTCCTGAAGTCTCAAATGCCACAGCATGGCAGTGTCACATGCTTTTCTCCTGGAAATGAGCTTGTACTCTGTGTATTAAACCCTGCTGTCAGTCTGTATGTGCTGATGTGCTGCTCATTTGTGCCTGTGTTTGCAGCTGTTCTGTCTTACAGAGATTTGATAGTTCATTCTGCTCTCACTCAGAGTAAGGAGAACTTCAGAGCAGGGTCCTTGAAGGAGCATTGGTTTGCTCTAGTTAGTGACTCAAGAGTTGTTTGGTGGGGGATTTTGGGGTTTGTTAGGGAGTTCTTGGTGGTTTTTTTTCCACTGGATGAGATTATTCCATCCCCTTCAGTGTTTCTGAAACAGAAACTGTGGCTGAGGTAGAGCAACTCTAGTTGCCTGGGATGGGTTCATGTACCCATTTTGAATGAATAGTCCTAACTGACTAGAGGAGAGAAAGCCAGGAACACTGCCATCCCTGTCCTTCAGAATTGATTCCCTGGCTTTAAATAATTTATTTCTTCCTTTCTGACCAACATAGATTGGGGTTTTTTGTTTTGTATTTTGTACTGTTGTTGCTCATCACGTCCCAAAGCCAAGTTAATGGGGTGTTAAGGCACTCCCTTTAGCTGTTCTATCAACACCACGGGCATTTTCCCCTCTCCCCTTTATTTATGGGATGATGTAAAATGGAGAACTGTACCTCAAGGTGGGCATTGTGTTGGTTTATGACCTCCCCAAATGTTGTCTGTCTCTCCATAGGTGCCTGATCTCTACCAGCTAACACAGCCCTGAAGGGATGCACAGCCAGGCCTGTGAGACACTGCAGGACTTGCCTTCAACTCGCAGCTGAAAAAGGGAAGTTTCAATTCGAGAAAGCACCTCTGGTTTTTTTATTACCCTGCAAAAGTCAAGTGTATTGCAAAGTGTGAATGCTCAGGTCCACCTCTTCCCCATGGGCAAGAGCCTCTCTCTTTGTTTCAGAAGGCTTCTCTCTCCAGAAGACTCCATGAGGCAGAAGAAGTTTTGAATTAGTCTAAAGCCAACTAAGCCATAAGAAGTAATCACAGAGATTTGGGGATCTGAAATAACTGAGAGCTTTTTTTGGAGCTGTTTTCCTTGAAACAGACATTTGAACGTGCAGTTTTAAGCTTAAGCAAAAATAAAACTGAGTGCGTATGTCTAATTTGTAAAATTTAATGGGCATACCATGAGTTCTCCATATAGTGTTATATTCTGTGATCTGTCTCTGTGTGCCTAAATACATGTACGAGTACAGATCACATGTACAGGCACACAAACTCGGCGATAGGTCACTGAAATCCAGCAGGAAAACCGAAGAGAAACATGAAGTTGCTCAGTATCAGCTGCTTTGATGGTTTCAGATTTTTACTCTTGTATTGACAAGGCACTCGCCACTGGGTGGCACATCTGACCCGGTGGTGTGTTAGGGAGGGGTGGTGCCCACGGAGCGTGTCCTGCTCTGACCTTCACAGAGAATGTTCCGTGAGAGGTTTGTCCTGGCCATAAGAACTGCAGATGGAGAGATCAGAAGGAAAAGAATCGAACATATCAAGCCCCTAGTAAATACCTTCTCAGAAGGGAGTTGTTCTCATGCCTTTAACTCAGGTGAAGTATATGATGATCAGGGAGAACTTGAAGTTCAGCTTTGCAACTGGAGACACCTGGAGAGAGCTTTCTTTGGACGCTAAGGAAAAACTCAGAAGTCACCATCCCTATTAGGAGACTATCAGGATTCATTCCAGGACTGGAATTTCACGTTTTGGCTGTGGGATTTCTGTCCTTCCCTTCTGGATGTGAAGACCTAGCAAGGGCCTGGTCTTGGAGCAGGCTGAGCTAGTAGAGAATCCTGTGGGATGTCCTGGCTTTGGTGTAGCCTCCACCTCTGTGCCGTGCTGCTGGAGTGTATGCCTACATGCACACTTGTGTTGCCTTTCTTTCTTTTCTGTGCTGGCAGCTGTTGAATGTTGGTTTTTATGTTTAAGAAATATATATTGAAGTGCCAAATAAATGTTTAAGTATCTGGAATTGTCTGCTGCCTGCCCTTGGCCTCTCTTCTGTGCATCAGTAGCTGTGTGTCTCTACTTTGTGTCCCTTGGAATTCAGGAGGAGTCACAAGAATGACAGGAACTGTGACAAAGACTAGATTGTGGAGTAATTATTTCTGCAAATATGGTCCTGTGGTCCTTGGGCACCTGTAGCAAAGTCATTGAGTAGTTTAGAAATTTCACAAACAAGTGAAGGCTGAGTTTGCCAAAAATCTGTACATTAAGCACAGAAGGACTTTCACCTTGTTGTTAGTCAGTTGTCCACATATTTCAAACAGAAAACAAGGAGACTAACTCTTGCTAATAGAGAAAAGCTCCCTGCATCTGCTTCTCTCACCAGTGAATGAAGGGAACTCAGCAATGGTTTTGTGAAAGGGATGCACGTTTGAATTCCTTTGTGGCCACAGTGCTCTGCTTCCTCCTGGAGCTGCTCCACTTCAGCCAGCTGCATTTGCAGCATTTGTCTGTGTGAACCATTCATTCTTGTTTCAAGGGAAGCATACAGCAGTAGATGACATTTAGTTCAAATCTGTCACTTTTGTAGCAGAGCTTGTGTAGTCCCCTTAGATGGCCTAAGCTCTGCTAAGCTGAATAAATTCTGTGTATAAGGAGGAGTCATTTTGGGTTTGAAGTCATGACTTGTCATTAATCTTTCTAATTTGTGTTCTCCTATACTGTCCCCCTGAATTAGTTTCCTACTGCAGGTTAAGCTCTTACTCTTCTGCTTCTCTATTAAGAAACCCATGTCTGTACACATACATGCATCCCCTTACCATACAGATTTCTTTTTAAAGTTGAAAGGTGCTCACCAAATTTCATAGCTCTCCGTTGCTTGTTGGCTGGCTTATGTGGTTTTAGTTGCAGCAAATGGATCTCAGCACTATGTTTCCTGCCTTCTCTGCCAAGGTTTACAGATTGCAAGGTTTGCAGAGGCCTCAGTTTTCTGTTGTGATTGTGTTTAATCAAGGAGGTTGTTTCAGGCTGCCTATTACAAATATACAGACTGAAGATTACAGGAAGCATCCTGACAAAATAGAAACTGCTTGTAGCTCCAGCACTCAAATCTCCACAATTACTCTGTACAATGGCAGAATAATGGCACGTGAATTCTCAGTGGACTCTTCTGTGGCACAGCACAGGGACTGGTGTGGTTACTCTAAGTTTATTTAACATCTTTGCATCCTTTTGTAGTCAAAGGCTAGACTGAGGAGGCTGATCAGCGATGTCTGAGCTGTTCTCAGAGTTCAGTCCTAACCAGTGATGGCTGCCTAGAGCATACTTCTGCCTTGCTTTATTCTTGAGGTTTACCACTTGGCCTACAGGCATTTACCATTTGTTTCTTACTCATATGCTCCACAAACCTTGTGCATACCCTTTTTACCTGGATAATTAGAACTCTTGTACAGTGACCTATATAATTCTTGAAAGTGTAATAGATTGCACTGGGTGGTTTGGAATCTTGAGGCAGAAATTTATCCTTCCTCCACGCTTTACTAGAAGCAGGACTCCTTTAGCTTTTGTGGCTTGTGTAACTAAGCTGTCACCCGCTGATTTGTTGGTTATGCTTTATGAAGCAACAGGACAAAATTTAAAGGCTGAAACTTAAAAGCAAAACACTGGCTCCCTCAGAGCTCTGTGAATCTTATCCAATCTGCCTTTCCTCCTTATTGGATTAAATGAAGAATGGAATTGAAATGGCTTTTTCTCTGGCCATCTGCCTCTGCAGGCTCTCCTGGCACACAAGGAGCTTGAATGAATTAGCAAAGAAATAGCCAATGTCTGCTTAAAGACAGCACCTCCTTAAGCTCTGCCAGAAATAGAAACTTGAGTCACTCTTATTCTCTTATTCATTGACACCCTTTAGCCCTTTGCATTTTATAGACTCTGATGGCTAAAGGGAAAGAATAAAGCTCTGGCTTCTATTTTTAGCTCACAGGAGTTATTCAGCCCCATAGGCACTTTATGGATGGACTCCTCCAGCCTTCTTATGGAATCATTTCTGGCTTTGTGTTCACGTAGCTCTTGGTGTGTAACATAAAAACAGGGCAATGTGGTGATACCTCAGAACCTGCAGATCAGCAGCTCACGTGCAGGTTCTGAGCAGGTGGGAGATGGGGAAAGTAAAGTACAAATAATCTCCTTTTACATGACCAGACTTTGTTATCTGCTTGCAGCTTTCCTAAACTAAAGCTAGGTAATTACACTCAAAGTTTACCTGAGAGCTACCAGGTAAGTACAGTGTCAACACTGAGCAATGTCAGTTGGATCTGTAAAATACAGGACTAGAAGTAACACTTTCCCTCTGTGATTGTATTTGCTATTTAACACAGCTGTGGTCTTTCCTGGATGAACTCCTGTAAGTCCAACACCTAATCTCGACTTCAAAATGTCTTTTCAATGAAGTAACTTAATTATCCTTCCTGTTAAAATATAAAACTTATTTTTGAGTTTTTCTTTCTTCATTCCAGCCATTGGATTTTGGCATTCTTGTATCTACTAGGATGAAGCACTTAACAGTTCTCTTCCCCATGTAACTGCTTACAGGTTGTGATTGAAGGTTCACTTGTTCAGAAGATGTAGTTGTTGATAAGTCAGAGCTGAGCTTTTATTCTGAAGTATATTTTATGCCTTTTATCTGAACTCTGTACAATTACTTATTTTATTTTCAATTATGGTATTTTAACTGGTAACAGTTACTCCAGCAGTGGTCACACCAGTTAAAACCAGTATAAAATAACATCTTCCTCTTTGGTGATTTTCCTCATTACAAACTGAGGACCACAGTGGCCCCTTGGCACCTGTACTCTACTGAAAGCCCATTTTCAGGTAATTATCAGTGATTACTGAACAAACTGCTTTTTTTCTATGATAATCCTCCATCCTGTGTGAGGATTTGGAAGGGGGATGAAATGGTCAGCAATGCAGAAAGGTTTCTTTACTCAGTGATGTAACATTTACCAGGCACTGCAAGACAAGGACGCGGATATTCCAAGGAGTGGTCCAGGTTCTGGGCACTGCAGTAAGAGATGCACATCGTTGGATTTGCCTCACTATGAAGATCTCTAATCTCTGCTTGCACTTCCTGTTGCCCCTGACTTGGATGTGGTTTCTGCCTTGCAGGCTGACAGCTGAAGAGGTGGAATCTCTGGAGTCAGAGGCAGCCAACCGCTGGCAAGGAGTCTGCCTTAGCAGAGCATCTCCCACCCCGCCAGAGTCTGCAGCCACTGTGAAGTCACTGATAAAGTCATTTGACTTGGGATGCTCAGGTATTTGAACACTGTGTTTTGTATTAAAAAAAATTTCTAGCAGTGAGCAGGTGACTGCTTCTTGCTTCTGAAGGGGTGTTTTCTGTCAGTGCTTGGTACATAAATAGTCTCTCAGAGGTGTCACTACGCCATAGTTCCCTGTTCTGATGAGACAGTTGGGTTTGAAATCCAAATGTTTCCATGTCTTTTCCTTGCAGGTAACACTGGACAAAATATCACAGTTCACAAGGTCCCCAGGAGCCCTCTCAGTGGAATTCCAGTGAGGACAGCCCCAGCAGCTGCTGTGTCCCCAATGCAGGTACATCCTTTCCATCCTCATAGTTTTAAAAGAGGTGGACACAGTGTTGCTCCAACGTGACCTGGTTTCAGCACTGACAGGAGGAAGGGGAAACCCATCTGTTTGTTTGCTGTGAAACATCAAATGCTGTAGCACTAACAAAAAGGATCAAAGTGAGTTTGTCTTGACCTCAGCTTAGAGGTCTCAGTGGACGGATGTGAACTCTTTGGGATACAATTCTGAACTTTTATCACCCTTGACCAGAAAACAGGTTTCAGTTATTGGGAGTGAGTTACAAGGAACATCACATTAAACTAAGGAGCTGTCACAAGAGTTGAGAGAAATGGGATAGTGAGTTTCCTTCTGACATACGATTCAGGGTGCTGGGAACAGAGTTAGGATTAGGAACAAGCATCCTTACTTCTGGCTTGTGACACTAGGTTGTGTTTAACAAGAGAAAAAAATGGTACAAATAGAAGTGGGAAATAGTTCAGAAACCAGTATATTACCAGCTAAAGATACTGTCCCTTTGTCCTTTTATTTTTCACAGTTGTTTCTCCAGTCTAGGTACAGCTGATACCCTGATGAAAGGTTTCTGTATCCCTTCACCTGCTTTGTGATCTTGAGATGGCAGAAACTTCTTCTTTCTGCTCTCCTATTTAAGCTTGATGGCAAGTATTTTTTTAATAATCTTTTGCACCTTTATTTCACAGAGACATTCTGTATATAACAATGCCAAGCCAGCCAGCAAGGGCATTGCCAGACATGCAGATCTGTCAGACCTTCCTCTTGCAGGTAAGTTGTAGTAAATGTATAGATGTCGCCTCTTTTTATCAGCTAAAACTTGTCATTAACTCTTGGCCTCTTCCAGGATATTTTTCCTCTTCTCATATGGTCAAAGAAAACATGAAAAAGGGTCTTCAGTGTCTCTGTTTTAGAGAGCTTATTAATTTTGTTGTGTTTGCATTCACATCTTGATCATAACTAAAAAATAGCTGATTTATTGTGGTTTGCCAACACAAACTTGCCTTCTTTATTCCAAAGTATCCATGGCACCTCTCTAATCCATGCTGTGGAACTGGAGAGGATTGGATTTTGCTCAACATGTATGTATCTGGAACAAGTCCAGAGCACTGTCTTTTGAGGCTTTATTTGTTTTTAAATTGAGCTTCATTTGAAATACATCAAACATTTCAGATACCAATGTGAGTGTTTTAGGACCAGTCATATTTGGGCTTGAAATAGTTTGTTTTGAGAGTTCTCAAGAGATGAGTTTGTTTTTATTTCACACTTTGCTTTTGTTCTCTTGTCATTTAATATTCTTTTCTACCAGTGTTTGTTTCCCATTTTCTCTAGGGCCCTTTATTTTGATTATCTAGTCCTGATGTAGTTGCTGCATTGGAATCAAAACTATTAACAACAGATTCTTGAATTTTTAAGGACAGATGAAATATTATATTCCTGTAGTTAAACTGC